ACACTAAAAACAAAAAAAAACAAATAATACTAAACCCTACATGGAGGGACTGACTATAATCACCATACTGTTGGTGATCTTTATTGGCTAAAAACATTAAATTAAAAAAGAATTTGGGGCTTACCATCGATAAAAATCGATGGCAACCTCTAAGTTTTCCCATGGTGGCTAGGTTAAAAGAGAGAGAACAACGAGAATTTTAAGTTTTTTTCTTGACCACCTAGGAGGAATTCTCCACTTATAATTATTTGAGCCATGAATGACTCTAATAACATGTATTAGTATTAAATTATACTTTAAATGGTATGATCATGATACAAACATATTAATTCAGTAGTACGTACCAACGAATGCAAAAATGTTTTGTTGGTATCGATATAGTTCCTTATTGGTATTTACTTCCTTTTTTTTAGTTACAACACTTCTCTTTTCATGCTTGCCGATGCATGATTTTAATCGTTAATATCTATAATTATCAATATGTAAAAATTATAAACATTTGATATTAAAATAGTATAAATTGAGACAAATTTAACAAGATCTTACATGACTATATTCTTGGTTAAATATAAATCATCAAAGCTATTCAAAGCGAAACACATGAATAGTTTAAAAGTCAAACTGTTGCAACTATTAAAAAAACGGAGGAAGTGGATGATACCATCTAAACACAATTTAATACCAACGCCGTGTTATTAGAGTCATTCATGACTCAAATTGCTAGAGGCACATAAATCCTCTCTTTTTAGAGTTATCAGCTTTTACCATTATCTTCGTTTTTCAAATGCATCACTTCAACTTATACTACTACTGATCTACTGTTGTCTACTTCTGTTTTTTTAGTAACGCTTTTCTTTTACATCCGTTTTATAATAGATACAACATCTATAATTATACTTTAGTACAAAATAACAAAAAGTTGATATTTAAAAAGTAAATATCGAGACAAATCCAACTAGATCTAACATGAGTATATTTTTACTTACGGGTGAATAACAAAATATGGTCAAAAGTTATTGTATGAATGAATAGTGTGAAAGTCCAAATAATGCAATAAAAACCGAGGAAGTATTTGATAAGGGATCACTATGAGTACTTAGGGGTGTCCATTATTCGGATAAAAATCGAAATCCAATCCAATGCAAACTGAATTATTAATTCGGATCGGATCAAAACTTTAAATCGGATCGGATCTGATTGAAATTTTTTAAAAATTCGGATTATATTGACCTTGTTTGGATCCAACAAACCGAATTAACCGAAATATGAAACCATGATTCTACAAATAAGGATTCTTTATATTAATCTTGTAAAATTATGTTGATAATTGCATTAATATAAATTATGTAAAACTATGTTTTCAATATTTGTAATAATGATGTACAACTATTTTTTAAGAGTAAACTTTTTATTATCGCATGTATATTTTTATAATCACTTTAGCATCTAAAAATTTGCAGTGTATTTTAATTCGGATTTTCGGATCGGATCCAAATAATCGAATTTTAATTCGGATTGGATTCATGAGAAATTCAGATCGGTTTGGATTTGAAAATTAAAAACCGAATTTTATTTCGGATCGGATTGCACTTGGCCTACGTCCGAACCGAAGACCGAATAGACACCCCTACGAGTACTAATTTATTATTTCTCTCTCCTATCAACGTTTTTTACACTTTCTAAAAAAATTATTTCTCTCTCTCCCATACTAAGAATTACTTTATAAATACGAATATATTTCCACTGCGGAGCAACTGTATTGTAAATACCTCTGTTTCATATTATGTGCAAGATTTGTCAAATATGGTTGCTAAACATGTATAACAAATGTTTTATTTCCTTTTTTTATGTTGTCATTTCTCTCGATCTCTTTCCTCATCAAATTTATCATTATCTTTCTCTTTTCATTCAACACCCATAATTAAATTTTGCCTAAGAGTTGGTGCAAACTCATTTGTTGCACATAATATGAAACAGGGGAAGTATTACAGAATTTCCCCTTTTTGCTTCAAAAAACACAAAGTATTAGCTCACCGTATAATTTTCCTAATAATTTTTACAACACTTGATGTTGCGAATATTACGAAATGTAGAGAGTATTTATATACAAACAAGATTTAGCCTACTTGGTAAAGCTCTTACCTAACATCCTTGAAGTTTGAGGTTCAAATTTTGCCAAGTGTGGGTGCTAAGGATAGGGATTCCTTTACCATCCCTCTTCCTATTAAATAAGGGGGAAAATTTTAATGGAGTAAGATATAGAGAGGAAAAAAAAAAAAAAAGATGTACAGAGTAGTTAGTTAAAGTTATACCTCTTCATTTTTATTTAACTGTAGCACTCTGACTTTTACAGTATTTATTTATTTTACCAAATTTTGCTTGAATTGTTAACTAATTAATGTACAAAAGGCAAATGTTATCTTTGGTGGAGAAGAGCTACGATTAGTCGATTAACCTTCATTCAAGGATTGCATAATCTAGAGAAAAATCATGCTTGAATGTTACAAAGAAGCATGATGGGGATGATTACCTCCATCTTCTTCCATACAACTAGAGAAATAGTAATGATCTCAATACATGAGATGTCTAAACTAATCTACCTAGCCAAGAGGCTAAAGCTAAATCTAAGAGCTAGGAACTACTATATGAAAGAGTAATTGTAGTTTGATCTCTTTTCCTTTGAGATCCTCGACTGCTATTTATAGAGTTTCTGGCCGGTTATGTCTTTAAAATTTTCTTGATTTTGCATATTGAATTTCACTAGGTAACTTCTTTGAACCTTAATTTGGCTCTTTTTAATCTTCTTGAAGAACCGTTCAGAGATGAAAACCGTTCTTGGTTTACCAACTGCTGACTTCTTCCTTCTTTATCACTTAACCACTAGTTTACTTGACTACGCTTGACTTTGCTTCATTGCATAACTTCTTGACTTGAATTCTTCATCTATTTACTAAGGTCTCTGATGTAGGGATGTTCGCGGTTCGGTTTGGCTCCCAAACCAAACCAAACTGCATCGTAAAATGCGGTGTGGTTTGTGGTTTAACTGCTATATTATTAGACATTGCAAATATTTTTAATTTTCTTTTATATTCTATGAGCATTATAAATTCTTAACGCAAAATTTTTTATTTGGTTGCATACTTACATTGCATTTGTATAATACTTCGTAGTATTTAATAATAAATCTTTATATGTAATCTATAAAAATAAATTGTAAGTATGGTTTATGATTTACAGTTTGTGATTTGAACTACAAAGCTTATTAAACTGCGTATTGCGGTGCAGTTTGGTTTAAAATTTTTGAAAATCCAAATTACACCGCATACCGCACCAAACGGGGGGGGGGGCGGGTGGTGCACTTTGAACATTTCTATTATTGTTGTGATCGCCAATTCACGAGGTTACTGCACTAACCCCATTCGCCAAGCAAATTTAAAAAATAAAAGACGTGCCTCATATTGCAACTAATTCGTTGATGACACATTATTGTCAATTACTCATATATAGTGTTAATGTAAGATTGTAAGCTGCTACCTGTATTTAAGGACGCCACTATTCATTAGGCCAGACCAATTTGAGGCACGACTTTTTAATGTATGGGTCAAGTCGTGGATTATGCCTGTGCCACATATTGTTGGAAAGGCATGGCGAGACTCAATTTGTGTTACCAAACACCACAAAAAAAAATTTAAATTTAGCTTAAATTAATAACTGATGAACACAAGATCATAGCACGACATGATGAGATTCAATCTACTTTATCTAACACAACAAAATTAAACGAAATTTAGCTTAAGTACGTAATTAATCATTGAACAAAAGATCATGGCATGACAATTTAAAATCGACCCGAAAAAATTTAAATTCAGACATCGACTTGTTTTGACATAATAATTTAGCATGACTTAAATTTAAAAATAGACCTGACTCGACTTTATCAAATTCGATCCGCACATCCGAATTGAGACCTCTATATTATAACCTATATGTTGGGCACTTGGGCTCATTGAACGCAAGAATATGGCACAACATGATATATAATTAACCCACGGCCACATCCATCGATACCTACTATGTATAGGTACTCTTTCTTTATTTTTTGAAGTGCAAGTTTCCTTTTTAATGGTTAAACTTTTAACAAAACTCTGATCTAAATATCAATATCTTGTTAACTTGTCTCACACGAAATTTAAAAACAACTATTTTATTTTATTCTTTAATGCATAATTAAAATCATTAGTGTTGAAAATTGTATGCATAGAGATCATTTTTGTAGATAAGTAAATAAGTATTATCAGTCGCTAATCACTTGTTCCATTTGATTCATTATTAAAAATAAATAGTACTTCGTAGATCAATTCGATTCATTGGTAAAAATAGATAGATCTTATGTGATGTGTGATTGAAGCTCCAACAAGTTCGAACCCAACCTATCTACTAGTGGTGTATTCGTGCTGACCCTTTTACTCAAAACTTTCTACAAGTGATCCATTTTTCTTGCTATTTTGAACTTACAAAGTGGGTGACGAAATACCAAAGTGAAACAGTGCTATAGAAAGTGACTTGAATCTTAGATTCAACTTCTTGAATTTGTGGACTCTGTTTATCAACTTCATAAGCCGTATAAATTAATGCCATAATTAGCATTAATTTGTTTGCAATCACGTTTTTAAATAATCTCCTTTTCGACCATATCCGAATGGTTTTCTTTGACACTGATAATCAAAGCCATTAAGTCAAATGATTAAATGATAATTAGGCAACACTGAAACTCTGATATTTCTTGATCAACAAAGCTGGGGAGTTACAATCATAAAAATGATAACCAAATTCCAAACCATACATTAAACTAGATGAAGGGCCACGATAGCGCTCAAAGAGAAAGATGCATTGTTTACAAAAGGGCAAACAGGCAAGGAGCTAAGGCGGATTATGATGGAGATAGAATGCTGATTGTTTAAAGAGTAATAGAGGAAGATGAACCAAGATAAACCCAAACATAGTAAAAAGAAAATGATTTCTCATAGAAGAACTTTAAACGAGACAAAGATATGAGCATACATTATCTATATTTGTATACAACAAACCTATACCACTCCAATCAATCAACCGCTATAACTTGGAAAGAGGGAGGGGAAGTATAAGTTAAGGTTGGAAAAGGGCAAACCATTGGGATCTCCTTAGATCATGAATGAGAGCTGGACTTTCCAGAAAAGGACAATGTCACAAGAACATGCCCACATAAATCAAACTCTTGACAATGTACCACAGTTCTGTTGAGCAAATTTGATGATCAAGTCAGCAACTAAGCTGGGTTTTTCTACATGAGGGATATGGCCACAATCTGGTATTTGACGCAATTTTGCATCTTGCAGCTGACCGTGCAGTTTCTGCAAGTTATCCACCAATTTCCAAACATTTGTCAGAATCTTCGGTTTCATGTTAATGAAAGATTACACCCAAAACCAAACAAAGGACAAGAAAATTAAGTAATGCAACACTTTTGCAATCCATTTACTTCCCTTAGATACAGATACTGGATACACATACAAAAGAATTGGTTTATACAAGTCACTCACAAAGAGTTCTGAAACTAAATGGATACACATATAATTGAATCTCATTCTATAAAATTCACGTATAAATAATCATCTCAACATATTTTCTGAGTATCAAAGACACAAAGCATGGAATAGCTAGCTCACTTGTAAGTATGTAACTATAAGATATACATGACATGCTCACCAATGCTAGCTTGTAGCTGATAATCTTGTCATCCTCGCCCCATATTATAAGTGTCTGCTGCTTTACCTGTCAAAGCGAGTTATAGAAACAAAATTGTAAAAAAAATTATAAGTTGTCACGTTCCATGTCCTTAATAATATAACCTATCATCATCATCATTCATCAATCATCCTTTCTAACAAAACTACAGTAACAATAGCTAAAACCTGCACATAATTAAAACAACAGATACAAAGTTCACGTAGTTTTAAGAAAGGGAGCTCAAGGCTTTTCATGTCAACTTGGTTGCATCATGAGCTCATGTCATCCTAGGAAAATAAAGTGGCTAAAATTTCTCATCAAATGAAAATGTGATCTGAACCAATAATAAAAAAAATAACCACTCTAGCTAAGCTGTATGACATTATACAAGACTACCATAGAGAAATAGCATTGGTTAATTTGCCTCTTTCAAATCATTTACAAAACAATTTGGCAGTTCTTATCACATCAGATTCTAACAGGATTAGCACCCGCACCAGAACAACATTTTGAATTAAATTTTTATTTTGTCCACAAAATAGAAACTTCTATATTCAGATATATTATGTCAGAGGCACATTGATGACAGTTTATCCTACAGAAACTGTACTCATATCAATTCACTTGTGCCATATTTTGATTTAGCATTGTTTAAACAGGAATTTATTCAAACAAGAGATCAGTCAATATCCCAAATAACTTTCTAAAAAGCGTAAATACTACAGTTAGATTGTGAAGCCATAAAAACAAGCATCTTTCATATACCTGCTTTATTAGGGGAACAACATTATAACCTCCACTTGTCATGAAAGCAACAGTTGCATCCTCCCACCAAGGGAATAGGCAATGCAAACGACCAATCTGTTCAACACTCAATATCAAAAAAATTTGAAGCCAAAAACACCCCATCAATTTAAAGTGTCTAAATTGTACACGAGGATTCTTACATTCATCCAGTCCACGCTGGTACTGAAGGATACATCATTAAAGGCTATAAGATTTACGTAAAGTCGTAGGGGCACACTTTTCAGTAAAGCAACCTATTTAAACAAAATATTAAGACAATTGCATTATTGTATTATACTTTGCTATTTAGCCAACCGAGAAAGTATGGAAGTTTAAACTTCAAAGTGGGCTACAATACACTCTGCAACAGTGAAAGCAAAGAAACAAAAGAACTTACAATACATAAATTCAAAAGGAGATAAACAATAAATTGATGTGTGTTGGGGGAAGGAGTTCCAATTGTGTGTGTGTGTGTGGGGGGGGGGGGGGAAGGGGTGTTGGGGTTCCACTTTCTATTAGGATTAGCACTCACACCAGCATAAGCAAATAGACGGGGAAGGTTGGCCATTCCCCCAGTACCTTCCGTGTATACACTTGCATCAATCAAAATCAGTTTGCTGACCTGATGCATTAGGAGAAAAAACGAGTAAAATTCCAATTGTAGCCATGTATCTTTATACTTCATAATATATAAGCAAATTAACTCCAAGCCGTGAAGACGTATATCTGAGATGGAGGTGCGGAACTACTAACAGCTTCTGGATGGTTAACTGCAAGGTCAATTGCAACAGCAGCCCCAAGACTTGGTCCAACAAGTATCATGGGTCTTTTGATGTAGGATTTCCAGAACTGTGACAGGCAAGTGACAAAGAGGTCACAGAGGAATGACAATTTGACAGTAGCCTCCATATAGGAGAAAAATGTGAAACCAACTATTCCATGAGACACTCAGCAACATTGTTCAAATTCTTATCCCTATAAAAAGGAACAGAGGACACCAAACAACAAATTAAGATAAAGAAGGTCATACTACCTGGTACAAATGATTGCGCTTGGATGCTACATCACACCGTGGTAGCCTTTCTAAAACCACAAAAACAGTTGAAAATAAAGAGGATAACATACCCAAAGGAGGAAGAGGGGAGATATGAAGAGAAGAGCAACAAGAGCTTCATTCCAAAATTGTATGTGTACAAAGCAAAAGCAATGACATACCTAAATCAGAAAAACCCCAACCAAGAACATCAATAGCCCAGCTTTCCAAGCCAGCCTCCTCAAGTAATGGGTATGTGTATCTCCATTCTAAACATGAACTGAAGAATGAATGCAATGAACTATGGAGAAGCTATAGCAAACTGCTTTCAAATCAACAGTCTGGGGAAAAAAGAATGATTACCTATCAAAACCATGAAGGAGAACAATTGGATCAGTATTTCCTTGCATCTTTGGCCTTACACAACTACTCATGATCGAAGTCTCTGAAGATGTCAACTAGAATAACATCAAGGTTGCACTAGTTAGTATATGGACATCGGTTTAAGATGTGTGAGTGATCATGTTAGCTGATGGATATATCCAAGGAATTTCACTAATAAAACTTTAGCATAGTTTGTTTCTATTTATTCTTTAAAAATAACAGAAAACCTTCCAAGTTGCAAGGCATGCAACAATGACCATACTAATAGCAAGAGTAACTCTTTACCTCGACACAAGGTAGCCTTTCTACTCAACTCTTTACCTCGACACAAGGTAGCCTTTCTACTCAAAAAGTTGTCAATACACAACTTTCAGTTTCATAAAACACAATATGTATGAGTCATAAACATAGTATAGGTGCGCAATGCGTTGGTACCATAGGGTATTATCACCAATACGCTTTCCAGGACTAGGTAACTCACTATACAGAACAAAACTTATTTACTTTATCAGGGAAGGTCAAAATAGTCATGAACACTAAACAGTAAGCATAAATAAGGAGGGGAAAGCTCTAGAGTCTTAAATGTTGCCTTTCCTCTTTTTCTATTGATTCTTCAGATGTCAATTTGGTCCAAACTATTAACATATTTTGAAAGAGGCATATCTGCTACATCTCTATGCTGTATTATCCACCTTACTTCTTTCCTAGTCTCTATCTAGCACTATAATGGATAGGTTTTGATTCATTACATACAACATTATACTATGGTCAAAGTTTATATATGAATAGTGAAAAAAATCCAACATATCAAATATTCTGGGACGGAGGGAGTATATTAATATGTGATACTCCAAATCGGATTGTAGGAAAGGACTCCTCCTTACTCCCATTATGGAAATCACTTCTTCGAAAGCCTAAACATGCCTTGAATCTGAATTGACCACTTAATTCTACTACAATCCTCACTTCTCATCATCTTCTAAGCAAGCAGTCAAGTGCAAATGATATTATTGTTATACTTGTATAAGAAACAAGACATCACAAAAATTTCTATAATGCAAGGTGGGGTTGATTCAAGGTTAAGTATATCAAGCAAATTAGTTTAAAAAACAGCAAAATACACTATTTTTTCATCAAAATTAAACATTAACTTTACAAGCATGGATTAATACTACAGAAAGTAGTGCATTCAATAATTGAAGTGAAATTGAAAAGAAATTGTAAAATTGCAACAAAAACAAAAAAAAAAAAAAACCAATTAAAACAGCAAAGAAACGGGGATTAAAAGAAGAACCTGAACAGGTAACCTCTCAATTCTTTGAGCCAAAATCCGAGCAAATGAATCTTTGATATTATCAACTTGTTTGGGTAAAAACGAAGGGAACCCATTTGCGCAAACCTTAAAATGGCTCCTAATATTCAAGGATTTTGCTGAAAATGGAAAGCAGTAGGTTGGTGTTAGAGTTAACATTGGGTGATCGCCGGCACCGGCGTAAAATGGTGGGCTGAAATTGAAGGGTAATACTGAAGATGAGTAGTGGCTAACGCCTAACGGATATGAGTTAGCCAAGTGGTAAGGCATTTATCTCGATTTTTTTCTCGTTACATGCATCTCTGTCTCTCCTTATTTAACACTCGTAAACAAATTTTGCTTACCAGTCCGTACAATTCTTCATGATAATAAGAATTTGAGGTACTCGTAGTATTTTGTTACATCACCCATATTGACTAGGGCGATTGGATAAGCAATGATAAATCAATTTTTTTTTTTTTTTTTTGGTGCTATGATAAATCAATCTTTAATTTGAGGAGAGAAATTTCTTAACTATGAGAATTTTTTGACAAATACTTTGTTTATATTTAATTAGTTGTAACGATAAACTATTACACTATTTACATACTTCATTTCCACTATTACTCTCTTTAATGATTTACCCTAAAGTCATGTAAAGCCTTGTTAGATTCATCTTAATCTTGTTAAATTTGTTTAAATATAAACTTTTTGGTGTTCAAATATGTGAACTGAAAACTATGCGAAAAGGCAAATGAGACGAAAAAAAGAAAAGGAGGGAGTAATATATCTTTGATTACTATGTGTATTTAAATTCATACTCTAACTTCTAGGAACTTCAAATACATGGATTTAGAGTACGTACTTACGATCATAATTTTGACGTTTTATGTAAATTTAGCATATTTGTTTTAAAAAGAAGAGGAAAATTATATGCATTGTGCTTAGCTAGGGCTACAAATAAGAAGCTAAGAGTACTAAAAATAAATGAATGTAACATTATGACATCGATCTATTATGATGAATTACATTACATGGTTTCAATGAATACATTACGGAAAAATAGACAACAATTGTATGGAGAACTTACTTGATAGTTTACAAGAACTCATGTTGCATTTTTTATTATTGTAGTGCAATGACAATCAATCAAATGCTTTTGGCTTTTAATTAAAAATGTTTGGCTGGCATACATAACACAATTTACTTTAATTTTCCTTGTTGACCCGAAGAAGACCAAGCTTATATTGCTAGGTAGCTGCTGACCAACTCGAGAACCTGACCAAGTAAAAAACTTAAAACAATTTTTAAAATATAATGTTACATGATCAATTTGCATTCTAGAAGTGGATCATGAAAATGGTGAATCAATTAGCTTGCTTTACTCCTTAATTCATCAATCACATTCACAATACGCTTGTTAAGTGACAATTAAATTCATTATTATTACCATCATTCTAATTTTTTTTTATACATCCAAAGTATTTTATTGAATTTGTTTGTTACTTTCGTAGTTGTTACGGAGTACAAGCACTCGTCTTACTCCGTAACACACACAAAGACTAGTAGGCAACTACGCTACTACGTACAATACCAAATCTACCAATCTCACTCTTTGGTCAACATTTAGAAATAAAGTATAAATAGACTCAAAGTTGAGTGGTAGAACTTGTGAGTGTTTCCAAGAAGTAACCAAGGAAATTGCCAAGAAATACACTAAAACCAATTACCACATGGACCCTCTACTGCAGCAGCAGCAGCAAACACCTGCGCAACGCCCACCTCAGCCTCCCGCCGGTGGTGGCGGAGGCGGCGGTCTCTCCGGCATCTTACCTTTGCTCTTCTTTATCGTTGCTGCCTTCACTGCGGTACTTTCTCTCTCTTTAATCATCGTTTAGTTTTTCTCTGCGGAATTTTATCGATCACATTATGTGCATTTCAACTGTTTGAGTTATTTTTTTTAATATATTTTTTTTTCCAGTTACTTCTTCGATTTTAATCTGTTGAAATTGATGAAATGTGGCTTGAATTTGATCTCATTTCGCCATTTTAGTTTTATTTTATCTATTGAGTGAGTGATCAAATCCATGGAATTCTTTGTACTATTATTTTTTATTTTTTTAGAATATGGTTTCAATTTCTAGGGTTAGTTTTCGAATACATACTTTACTTCATAAGATTGACCAGATATATAAAGGAAATCGAGTTTAGATGCTTATTTATTTATTCTATTATTTATTCTGAGTTGCAAAGTTAAATTTGGTTAAAGTGATCCAATAGTAATTGTTTAAATCATTCTTTTGAAATTTTTTCAATGATTCTGTGTTTGCTGATATAATTTTTCAGTTGTTGGTGATAATTGCACCAAATTTAATGATCATTAGTTATTTGACCATGTTCAAAGGAAGAAAATGAGGAATTCATTAATTGGGTATAAAAATATACTACAACAACAACAACAATCAAAGATTTAATTGGATATTACAAGTATATATACAGTCGCAAAATCTTGATTGTTTTTATTGTGTTCATCAAGGAGATTGACCAGCCATGGTCAGGTTTCAGTTAGGTTATATATCTAGGGACATGGTTGTATTGAAAATTATCATACTATGCAACTTGTGTGGGATTGTCTTGTGTTTGTTTGGAATAGTAATTTGTATGATATGCTGTGGAAATTTGGCAGGTTGTGCTTTCTTCTACGTCAACAAACAAGATCAGTTTGACGATCTTGCACCAAGTGCCTGAAGGTCATGTTGGTGTTTACTGGAGAGGGGGTGCCCTTCTCAAAACAATTACTGATCCTGGTGTGAATTTGCGTTTTTTGTTACCTTTTATGTCTTCCATTAATGTTTTGTGCAAAATATCTGATTAATTAGAAACAGGTTTTCACTGGAAGCTGCCTATAATTACTCATTATGAACCTATACAAGTGACACTTCAGACTGACCAGGTAGTTCTACGAGTCCTCGTTGGTCTTTTTACTCTCTTGATTGAGCAGCTTGCTTATGTTTTCTTATTTTCCAGTCAAATTTGCTACCACCTCTATTCCATAATATAGCATCCATTTCCATTTTCATGGACATACTTTAAAAACTTTGACCAACAATTCTCATGTGTCATATTGTTAGATTCGTCTTAATATTTAATTTTATAATATCCGTTTTTTATTGTTTTTGTTGACACATGACTAAAGATATTGATGGTCAAAGGTACATCTTCAAAATGGGGAAAATGAAATTGGCACGATATTATGGAATGGTGGGAGTATTTGATATCAAAAGGTGGCACAAAAAGAATATATAATTGTATTTGACTTTTCAAGTGGTACTTTGTAGGTTAGAAATATTCCATGTGGCACAAAAGGAGGTGTTATGATCAACTTCAACAGGATAGAGGTATGCTTAGTTACTTGGAGGTTCATTGCATTAGTATCATTGCTCCATATCAATTGGTGTTACTGATTTTTGCCTTTTCAAGCTGAGTTGTATTGCTGTATACTCTGTGGAACTTAGTTATAGTATTATGTTCAGGTTGTCAACAGGCTGAACAAGGACGCTGTATATGACACTCTTCTGAATTATGGTGTGCACTATGATAAGACATGGATATATGACAAAATTCATCATGAGATCAATCAATTCTGCAGTTCCCATGCTCTTCAACAAGTTTATATTGATATGTTTGATCAGGTGAGCAACGTAATTACAAGAATGATGCTTCTGAAATTCTGGTGCTATATAATAGCTACTATTTGGTTAATTTTGAATCGCTTTCGCTATATGTATAACAACAAGAATGACCATACATTAAGGATATTGCTAATGATGGGTATTTTGGAGGTCCATAACTTTTACCTTAAGGTCTTAACCGATTGGAATTATTAAAGAGGTTTTATTTTGCGAGCACGTGAACTAAATGGGGAGAAAATCTTACCATAAGAACATACGAGTAGTCGTGATGCTTTTTAGGAAAGCCGCAGTTGAAGAAATGTAAACACAGAAAATGCATGAAGTATCTTGGGGTCATCCGCTTCCTAACCTAGATTCAATCATTAAAAAACACCCTACTTATATGTAAGCTGCAAAGCTTCTTGACTCATCACTTCTCTTCTGCTATGCTTGTTCCTATTCCAATGTTGTTTCTGGAATTCACAATTTTGATACATCTCCTTCCTTGTCAACGTTCTGTCTTCAATTGTTTCTATATGTAATTCTTTACCTATACTTGTAAGTTCAGCTGAAAGTTAGCATTTTTTTGACATTGTTGTCATATCTTATGCAGATTGATGAAAGGATGAAAGATGCTCTCCAGGGTGACTGTACTCGTTATGCTCCTGGTGTTGAGATCATCAGTGTTCGCGTCACAAAACCTACCATTCCAGAGAGTATAAGGCATAATTATGAACAGATGGAGGAAGAAAGGACAAAGGTACATCCACTGGATCTGTTTATGACTTCGTCTCTGGAATGAAATTTTCTTTTATATTGGGATTGGGAAACTATGATGCAGATTCATTTGTAGGCAGATTTTATGATAGTTTGGTCCCTTGCTTAGGAGCGAAAAGAATGTTTTTTACTCTTATCGTCATGATTGCAGGATTGTAGCTGTTCTTCTTTTGTTTCTGTCAAGTTTATCCTAGGTTGACCTTTAGAGGGACCTTATTTTGTTGTAAATTTTTATTTTTCCTCTCTGATTTGCCATGGATGGTTTATTTTTGTTATATCTTATTAGCTCTTTGTGTGTCATGCTTTTTGTTATTTTAAAATTTAATCTCTGCTGTCGCTCAGGCTTTAATAGCTATTGAGAAACAAAAGGTTGCTGAGAAGGAGGCAGAGACACAGAAATAAATTGCTATATCTGAGGCAGAAAAGAACTCATTTGTGAGCAAGATCATCATGGAGCAAAAGCTGATGGAAAAGGAAAGTGCCAGAAGCCAGCAACAAATTGATAATGAGATGAATTTAGCTCGGGAAAAGAGCATGGCTGATGCTTACTACTACAGGTGAATCTCTCTACTCCAGGAAGCCCTCAGAACATTTTGCCGAGGAGGGGGTGAAATTCCCATGCTATGTCAGTTATGCCACTCATAAGTTTAATTTTACAAAATACCACTAATGTTGATGTTGATATTGATGTCTGCTTTTCCAGATTGGTAAAAGAGGCTGAAGCTAACACTTTGAAGCTAACACCCCAGTATCTTGAGCTCAGATTTATTGAAGCAATAGCAAATAATACCAAAATGTATTTTGGAGATAAGGTAGTCTAATTATACCAGCTAAAGATCACTTTACTTTGCCTTAATTATATATGAAAATTTTACTCAGTTGTTTACTCTGCAGATTCCAAACATGGTTTTCGACCAGAAATTGCTGGGAAACTTCCTGGAAAGCGTGGCTAAAATGCCAAGGAAAGAAGCTTTTTAAGCAAGCAGACCATCAGAGTGGTCAGGTTCACTTGGGTAATGGCATTAGAGCTGATCGACCAAACGGATCATGCATCAAATTAACTAACGAAGGGATATGGATCTCTAGTTTCCGGATTGCTTTGCTCATACGCGAATCTAATACTTTAAATGTTCTTTTTGCTAGAATTTTTTCAAGGGTGGTTTGACAGTTTCATATGAATGAATAGTGATATGCATAGGCTAGTAAAGATAAACAGGAGGAACAAAAAATG